TTTTCTGGGGAAACTTGACCGTAAACTGGTCATGCAAGTAGATTTTGAAATTTTGGCCTCAGGAAAAAAAAAAAAAACTAAAAAGAAACATGGTCCATTCCACAAAAAAAAAAAGTTCCAGTCTGTGTTTAAGTACCTTGACCACTGCAAAAGTCCAGCCCACCACCCTGACAGCAACACTGAGAAAGTCAGATATGCGACCAGTAAGTGCCTCGTGTTCACAATCTCTGTTTATTTCCCCCCTCATTTCACCAGACAGTTACACTGATTATGCACTGTTGCTTGGTCTGGCTGAATACAAGGGAGATACTTACAGTTAAGACTGATGAAGTTTCCATAGAAACACAAACAGCAAGAATAAACAGATATATTTGGAAAGCGTATTTGTGATGCTGAAGATACTAGGAGAGGATTGGAGATGCACTCACTTTATGGGGTTGGAAAGGGCCTTCTTTATCAGGTAAGAGATGATAAGAGACCTGGAGATGCAGAGAACCTGGAAGCCACAATCCCAGGTAAAGGGCAACTGCAAGGGCCCTGTGGCAGCAACATGGTGGCTTGTTTGATGAATGGAAGTAGAGGCTCATGGAGCTGAACAGCAGACAGCTAGAGGAGAATGCTATGGACAGCATGGTAACAACCTCAGCCATGCGCACAAGATTTGCTTTTATTTTCAGAACAATGGAAAGAACATTGAAGGTTTCAATTTACACACAACAATGATGATTTGCACTTCTGCCTGATGAACGGAGTGTGTGTGTGTGAACGCAGGCCGCACGCAGGGAACCAAGCGTGGGTTCACAGAGATCAAACAGGACAGGTGGCTGCTGACCTGCATTGATCCGGGCAAGAGGCGGCGATGGCCCAAATCCCACGACAGTTAAGGAGATGTAGCAATGTGGGAAACGGGATCAATTTGGAGGGAAACCTGCTGCTTGCTAAGACCGAAAGAGGAAAGCATGAGAGTGTGAAGAGAACCCAGGGTTTCTGAGGTCGGGTGCCACTTCATACAGTGGGGCTGAGCCCTACTTCGAACAGGAGGCTTCCACAGCATGCGAGAGATCTACCCAAACAGCGCAAGCACACACCTGGACAGAGTGGTTTGAAGCCCATGCAGAGGTCTTAGCAGAAAACACACGTTGGAGTCGGTATTCCGCTAAGCTGCGGGAGGACCATTCGGGCACATATTTGGTGATAGATCAGACTGATCAGTAACTGTCAGGACAAGGCAGAAAGCTGCCTTCTGGAAGGTGCAAGAAGCATTTAGGAATGCCTGAGGAGTGCCAGGTGCCATGGCAGCTCAATAAATATTAATTTACAGAGATGAATCTCAAGAAAGCAACGAACTATTATTTCAGCGGCTGACCCCGTCCGGCTCAACTGGCGCCAGAGCCATTGCTCAGCTGCTTGTACCTTCTGTTTTTCAGCCTCAGAATCTTTTTTCTTTCCTGAGAGCTAATTCCTGACCTGAGCATCTTGCTTTGTCCTTGGTCACTGCAGTGTGGCCCTCACATATGGACTCTCACTGTGTCCCCAGCAACTGTCTCCCAGCAGGCTTCCTCTCGCGTTTCTACACCATGAACTGTGAAGGCTTCTCAAACACCCATCACATGCCACAGTTGACAACTGATGTCTTCGTTCCATTGTAGTCACCCTGCAAACACAGATGCCTCACCTCAGGTTCCGAACCAAGAAGCTGCAAAGTGGCACAGCCAGAAGTCACAAGACCTGCCCGTCTCCACAGCTGAGCTTCCGGTCTCCTCTGCCTTACTAAGCTTGTAGTATTAGGCATGCAGCATGGGTCTGCACACCTGACTCACTGAACTTTCTAGCAAGGTCCTTGCCATGGCTAGGATCTGCTGACAGCAGCAATGTAGCATGCCAGGTGAGCCTGGAGCAACAGTGGCCCCTGTGTCCACAACCACAGGCTTCATTCGGGGCTCCAATGTGAGGATTTATCCCACAGGTGCAACGTGACAGATGCTCACATCCTGAGAAGGTTATTAACCATCAGAGAAATATGAGAGAACAAGGGTAGCAGAGCAATCCAGCCTGGCACGTGGGAAGGAGTGGCTGGGAGAAGGGAGCAAGCCCAAGAAAACGTGTTGGAAAGGAAGATACGTACTGTTTAGATGTAACTCAGGTGTGAGACACAACAGAAAAAGTCCATAATTGTAGGCTTTATGTAAATGCATTAATAAAGCTTCGGTTTCTTGGGCAACACACTCTAATGGAAGGGTTATCTGTCTTCATTAGGCAGGTACTCGGAGCAGGCAGGTGTGTGACAACACAAAGAGACACTGGATGAAACTCTATGGGCAGCAGGAGCAGGGGTTTCTGCCAGCATCCAAGAGCAGGCAGCACCTTCCCTTGCAGGGAAACCAAGTCCTGGCAGATGCCACAATGTGGGCAGGAATCATTTACAATTAGCTTCGCCTTGGAGGACAAAGCAAACTGGAGCCAGCCCTGCTGGCACTCGCTGAGCGACACCTGTGCTTCCAGTGAACTTGACCCCACAGAACCTGACAACTGCTGCCTCCTGGGGAAGTCTCATCTTGTGGCAGGTTTCAAGGCAGAAAGGGAACGTGGAATTCCTAGAGGCATTGATCAGCAGGATTTACCCACAGATGAAACTGGCTTAAGGTTAAAAGTGGGAAGCTGCACTTAGAAGACAGACAAAAGGGGAAGAAAAGCCACATGCAATTGGTGCATCCTTTAGCTACGACTGACGATGAGAGCTGTGGCATATGAAACAGATAGGCAGGAGACCCCAGCCCGTTGCGTGTGGCGGACACATTTCAGTCCAGCCCCAGGAAGGCCTGTCTTCACTGCAGGCATCCGCTCAGTCTCTGTCTCTCGCACACAGAGGTAAGGTTTTATATATATTTAATCACACCCTAATTTTGTTCTCTCTTTTTTTTTATGAAATTCAAAATGCCAATAGCTGAAACAGGCTTTCCATACATATTGTTCAATAAATGGACAAATATCTGAGTATTGTACCCTTAAGTTTCAAGGGCTGGTGCCTGACCACAGCCAGTGACTCTTCAGTAGAGTCCATAGTTATTTTCTAACTTTGAACATTCTTTTCATCAAAATACTGAAGCACCTCAATTTCTCTGCATCCATACATTTTCTGGGAGGAATGCTAAATGAAACAAAACTGTGAAGCAATGATGAGCCACCTGCTTCTTAATTCTCTCTGAAAGCACTCTTACTTAGAGTTGCTCATGGAAGCAGTTGTATTTGTCCGACTTTTCGCTAGAAATCCGAAGGACCACAGAAGGCAGAAACAGTGACGGTGCAAGATCAGACGTTGGAATTCAGCCTGGAGTTTTTCACATGCATCAGAAGGTGGAAATGTCTTCTCTATTAAAACCAAGATGACTTGCTGAAATTCAATCCTCTCTCACGAGTGGCATTTTGAGTAGAAAAACTTAACAAGCCATTAAGTGGACTCCCAATAGACATGCACATACCCAAGCTTTTGAAACAGGTTCAAATGCAGAGACAGAAGGCTCTGGCATCAAGGCTGATCCTCTGGGGTATTGTCATTGGAGCCCCACTTGCTCCCCATCCCACCTCATCAAGTGCACACTTTAAAAACTTTAAAAGCTGCCTGCTACTTCACATTGCGTTGAAGTAATAATGACAAAAATAAGTAAGAACCCATGGGTCTTCGGCTGCAAAGCTATTATTTTGATTATTAAAAAACTGGCTGGTGCTCGCACAGTGGTACATCAGGCTAATCCTCCACCCTGTGGCACCTACATCCCATATAGGCCTTGGCTTTTGTCCCAGCTGCTCCACTTCCAATTCAGCTTTCTGCTTATGGCCTGGGAAAGCAACAAAGGATGGCACAAGGCCTTGGGATCCTGCACACCTGTGGGAGACCCAGAAGAAGCCGCTGGCTCCTGGCTTCAGATCAGCTCAGCTCTGACCATTGCAGCATCTGGGGAGTGAACCAGCAGATGGAAGACCTTCTTTCTATCTCTATTTCTCTCTGCTCTGTAAAAATTGCCTTTCAAAAAAAATTGGCTGAGGGGTTGTGTAGTAGCAGATAAAGCCACTACCTGTGATGTCAACATTCCAGTACAGGAGCTGGTTCAAGTCCCAGCTGCACCACTTCTGATTCAGTTCCCTGTTAATGCCCTGGGAAAGTAGTGGAGGATGGTCCAAGTACTTGGGCCCTTGCCATGTGGGAGACCTGGATGAAGTTCCTGGCTCCTGACCCAATGCTAACCGTGGCAGCTATCTAGGGGGCAAATCAGCAGATGAAAGATTCTCTTTCTTCTACTTTCTCTGTAACTCTGGCTTTCAAAATAAATATATTTTAAAAAGAAAGAAAGTGCTGAGTGAAAATAGAATGACTGAGATAAGGGCTAACCTTCCAACTCTTGCTGGTATCTTGGGAACTAGAGACGGGAGGGAAGGCAGTAACACGTCCATGTGCCTTTTAAGCTTTTTCCAAGAATAAAAGCACAGTTACTTTTCTGGTAAGGTGTGGCCATTTACAAAAAAAAATGTCAAGCCAGTGTGACAAAGCACAAATCTTGGCAAGATAGAAGTGTTGAAAGCACTGAGTTCTTTGTCATTCTTAGCTTTGTCTTTCTTAGCTAGAAACATTTCAAAATTAAACAGTGTTAAAAGAATGAACATCACACTGACCCAAAACGACAGAATGCAAATTTGTGCATGTGTGTGTTTCTGCACGTGTGTGTCTGTGTGTGTGCTGGAGGAAGAGTTTAATGCCAAGGATGTTTAATTTATCTCTGCAAGGGTTCACGGCAAGAGATTTCAGATTCCCAGTTAGTTTGTGGGTATTTTTCAACTGGTGCCTGACTTCAAAACACAGAACATGAAGATGTGAAATCTGCTGACACTCTAGCAAACATGACTAGGAATCAGCTCCCACGAAAGCTGCAATGCTTCCAATATCAACACGGTGCTGACAATTCATCATCTTTAACGAGAGGGATGGGGAAGGGCTGAGTACTGACCTCCCGAGGACAAATGATCCTCTTGGGACGCGGTGCCTCTTGCTGTAGCTGATACACTGCCAATAAAGAAAGAAAAAGATACTTCTCATTAGAAAACGCCAACCCATCCCGACACCCAGCATGCCTTCAACTCTTTCCACCTTAGCGCATCTTAAGAACTGGAAAAAAAAAAAAACCCACACATTTTTTTTTTCAGACTGGATAAAGTCAGATCATTTATATGGAAATTAGCTGCCATGAATGTAAACTGGCAAAATTGATTTCTCTTTTATTCTTATCAGGCCATTGGAGCTTTATAATTGTTACTGGCATTGTTCATTTGATGCCTTTCTTGGAAGACCAGGTGCTGCTCAAATTCTTTTGACTTTTTTTCAGGATGAAATTCTAAGTGTGAGAGTATCTGAATAGTAAGACAGGGTAAACAAAATTCCTGAATTTAGATGCTAGCATCGTCTGACAAACCAGGGAGAGGACAGGCGTTCACAGAGGAGTGTGCCTCTGAAATGTTATGTCCCAAAACACAACTGGTCTGTGAGTGAATGACACGCAAGTCGCTTCTCTCTTTTCTCCTCTCCTTTCACGGCCCTCACAGCAGGTTCTCTGTGGCCTTCATCTGACTGCCTTCCTGCACTGTCGCTTCTCTTTCCTGGACGCTCTCAGACTTAACTCTGTCTTAACTCCCTTCCACGATACACCTGCAGCCAGCAAGCCACTGTCGGCATTGAATGCAACAAACTATTGCTAGTGATTTTTTTTTAGATTGTAAAAACTGATTTTTTTTTTCTGCTGCTAATCAAGTTATTTCTCTCGAAGGGACAAGCTATCCTAAGCCGACACCTCAGAATTCTTCCTCCAGAAAACAGAGACAGTCAACAAGCAAGTTGTTTTTTTTTTTTCAGAATCATGAGAATTAATTTTAGATGAAATGAATATACAAGATCACAAAAAGTTTATGCTAGATAATCTAATCTTTCCAAGAAATGTGATAGGCAAACATGTATGACTTATTCTCAGGTCTAAAAATTGAAAAGAAAAACGAAGGGCAGTCACATGTAAAGAAGAGGAAACCAGTGTATATTGTTGCAGTTACAATTGCCCATGTGCTTGGCTCAACATGGTTGCTCTCTGTGGAAGGACAGATGACCCAGATTTAGCACACAGAAGAAAGGAACCTGCTTCTAGAGGTTTGAACGGGCCACATTTCTAAGCACAGAGGCCCATGTCGCTCAAGGACAGCAGGAACCCATGTAAGAATACAGGGCTGGGGCCCGGCGCGGTGGCGCAAGTGGTTAAAGGTCCTCGCCTTGCACGCCCGGGATCCCATATGGGCGCCGGTTCTAATCCCAGCAGCCCCGCTTCCCTTCCAGCTCCCTGCCTGTGGCCTGGGAAAGCAGTCGAGGACGGCCCAAGGCTTTGGGAACCTGCACCCGCGTGGGAGACCCGGAAGAGGCTCCTGGCTTCGGATTGGCGTAGTATCGACCCATTGCGCTCACTTGGGGAGTGAATCATCGGATGGAAGATCTTCCTCTCTGTCTCTCCTCTCTGTATATCTGCCTTTCCAATGAAAAAATAATAAAAATAAATCTTAAAAAAAAAAAAAATACAGGGCTGAATATAGCCCTTTGGGCCCAGAAGGAGCCCAGAAATGACGGACCATTTAAAAAAGAAAGGCCTTGAAGTACCTCCCCCTCTTTGAGAAACAGCCTTCAAATGCTACTGAACCAACTAACGCAAAGTGGGACTGGCAGAGGAAAGAGAAGTAGGTGGCCTTGCGCCTGAGGCCTCCAACCAAGCAGTGTTATCACTGACCTTGCGCTATTTCCCTGCCTTTCGGAGTACCACATCCCCTCATTCTCGTCCTTCTAACTCAGCTTCTGTTTGTGTGTGCCTGCGGCAGACTCTTCCTCTCCGATTTGTCCATGGCTCACAGAACATACCAAGGCTCACCCTAGACCCTCTCCAGGGCTCTTCCCTCTCCTAACACTTTTTTTTAAAAAGATATATTTATTTTTATCAGAAAGGCAGATTTGCAGACAGGAGAGACAGAAAGAGCTCCGCGGGCACACGGTCCCAAGGTTTTAAGCCGTCCTCCACTGCTTTCCCACAGGCAGGGAGCTGCATGGGAAGTGAAGCAGCCAAGATTAGAACCGGTGCCCTATGGGATCCCAGCATGTGCAAGACAAGGACTTTAGCCACTAGGCTGCCAGGCCGGGCTCTCTCCTTACAATTTTGTCAACCGCCTGCAAAAGGCTCCCTTCTGCCCAGCCTCCTGTCATCCCGTTCCCGGCTGGGCTGCAAAGCGAAAATTCACAGATTCCTCCTGAGTTTGGCCAAAGGACCATGACTCCAACATCCCAAAGTCAGGCCTCTTTTGTGAATCCTGTGAAGGATGTGCTGCATACCCCACTTATCCAACAAGTTTTCTCTCAAGCCTCCTGTGACACCTCAGATGACCAGCTCACCATCAGGCCTGTCGACCGTGCTTTGTAGAAGTCCCTCCAATTTGTCCACTCTTGTCCATCATATCACCAACAACCCACTCACAGTTCTTGACTCTGACCACTCCCCTAACCTTTTTCCCATCTAGGGTCCAGTGTGATGGCTTTAAAATGTCCATCAGCAGGCCCAGCGCGGTATTCTAGTGACTAAAGTCCTTGCCTTGCATGCACCAGGATCCCATGTGGGTGTCGGTTCGTGTCCCAGGTGCTCCACTTCCCATCCAGTTCCTTGCTTATGGCCTGGGAAAGCAGTAGAGGACAACCAAGGCCTTGGGACCCTGTGCCCACGTGGGAGATCCAGAGGAGCCACCCGGCTCCTGGCTTCAGATCAGCTTAGCTCTGGTCATTGAGGATGGAGGATCTTTGTCTTTCCTTTTTATAAATCTGAGTTTCCAATAAAAAAAAGAAAACATCTTAAAAAAAAAAAGTCCATTGACTCACATGACTTTCTTACAGCCAGCTTCCCACTGCTGGTGGATGAAGACTAAAGTCTCTAACACATGAGGCTGTTTGGGGTCGTCCTATCCCTGCTTCTACAATCTCACCATGAAGCAGGCTCTCTGCTCAGCCTACCGGCCATCACCTCCTTCCTTCGCACATTCTGTCCCTGCCATCTATGCCGTCCTCCTCTCCTTCGTCTCCACTCCCAGAAATCTGCCCCTCAATTTGTGACCTCGGTCCAAACATCAGCTTGCACAGGAGTCTTTCTTGACATCAGCCCCAGAGCCATCACCGTCCCACCCTGTACTGTTAGAAGTCCCTGTACTTCCCTCCACATAGTGTATCACAATTCCAGCTCTGTGTTTCTTGGAGGGGGAGTTCTAAAAAACAATTATTTCTCTTTTCCATGTTATAAACCCTGCCATGAAAACAGACATGGTGTTTAAGTGTGTTTAGTTTTACATTCCTAGCACTGGTTGAAGTGGTATGGAGATTATATATGTATGTGTGTGTGTGTGCGTGCGTGTGTGTGTGTGTGTGTGTGTGTGTGTGTGTATGAAGAAAGACTAAAAAACAACCTCTTGCTTTTTAGAATGATCTTTGGGGGGAGACATGAGATTAATGAGGCAAGTACAGAGGAGGGTGAAGTGTAATCTCCACAGAGCTGTGGGTCACCAAGCCCCAACGGAAGGAGCACGTCAATGATGTTCCTGTAACAAAACTTAAGAAAATTCTCTTAACATGGACATGCAACACTATTTAAGATATTCTGGGGGCCAGCACCAATAGTAAGTTAAACCTCCACCTGTGCTTCTGGCATCCCACATATAGGCACCAATTCAAGCCCTGGCTGTTCTTCTTCCAATTCAACTCCCTAGTTATGCATCTGGGAAAGAAACGAAGGATGGTCCAAGATCTTGGACCCCTGCATACATGTGGGAAATCTGGAAGAAGCTCCTGACTTCAGCCCAGCTTTGGCCATTGTGGCCACTGGGGAGTGAACCAGCAGAGAGATCTCTGTCTCTCTGTAACCCTGACTTTCAAGTAAAATACATAAATCCTTAAAAGACACAGAGAGAAAGAAGCACTCCCAGCCAAGTGCTCCTTTGTCTCAGTACACATTACACTGGAGGCTTTGAGGATGAACGGGGTCAGGGCGCACAGAAAGGGACCACATGCTAAGTCTTGCCATGTAGGAAGAACCATGCTTTTGTGAACCTTTCTAAGAACCCAAGAAAATTAACTTTGCATTGCCATCCTCTTTTCTAAGGAGGAAACGGGAAGTTGTGCCAGAAGTTGAGCCAGCTAGGCTATATTCCCACCTTCAGTATTCCATTTTGATTCAAAATTTGGAACTATATTTTCAATGTATTTCACCTAATATAGGAAATATAAGGTTTTCTCATATTTATTTTTAATTATATACATTTAAAATGTTCTTTACAAATGTTCTTTATAAAATGTTCTTTAATTTTTTTTTCCAATAAGCTTTTTCTTCAAGAATACATCAATGTGTTCACCAGCCCATTCATTTATGTACATACAGTCCTTATGAATCAGTGGTGACCGACATGGGAGACCCGGACTGCGTGTTCACCTTTGAGCCTCAGCCCCCAGTCCAGGGCCTCTGTGGGTTTTTGGAAAGTAAACCTAGTGGTTGGAAGATTCATACTTGTCTCTCTCTCTTTCTGATGCTCAAATGGAAACATAAATAAATACAACGGGATTTCTCCTAACAAATTCCTTTTGCGTCTCCACAGGGAAGTGTGATCAGTCACGGCATGGCCTTTTAAAGCGTCTCTCTTTTATATCTCATAGCCGGATAACCCCAAACCTGTGTTCTTTGACGTTTTTATGAACGTTATCAAGTACAGGATTGCCCCATCATAAACAACAGCTAAATGGATAAGCTAAAGTCATCCCTTTTCTTGTTAGCAATCCATGCCTTGAATAATCGTTCCTGATAGACATTGATTAAGCTTTTCGAGTGGAGGTGTTTAACGATCCTATCCCCTGTTAGTATTTAAACACAATGCTGGGGTCTGGTGCAGTGGCCTTGAATGCGCCAGGATCCCATATGGACGCCGGTTCTAATCCTGTGTGAGACCCAGATGAAG